CTGCTGAAAAAAAGAACAATTTGGTCGCTCGGGTGCGTTTTCCTGACCAGGAGAGGATAAAACGTCTCTCTCTCTCTCTCTTTTATTTTTTGAACACTTTATTTGCTTATCCAAATGACTGGCCAGCATTTCTGATCTTTTGGACATTAAATAATCCTTCAGTGGAAAAACGTAACGTAGAGAAATGTGGAAGGAATTCTTAAAGCACACCGAGAATAAGGTAGAAAAAAATGCGGAGCTCTTTTGCAGAAGGAAACATTTGAGGAAGAAAAAAGTGGATTTTGGCATAGCCTCTGAAGGAAGAGTTTGGCTCTCAAAGATCAAGGGAGGTTTAGATTCCAAATGAAGTTAAAGAATTGTTCCATCCTAGTTATTCCTTCGTTCTTGTTGGCAAGAGCCACTAGCTTTTGAATCTACTTCAAGGTTTTTTGTCTTTGCCACTGATTTTGAGTGGGAGTTGGCTCCGGTTGGTGCAATTAAATTGAGTTTTGGGTGGCTCCTAGGAGTGCACAGGTTCCGTCACTAATTCTCCACCATCTTGAGGGTTTCTCTTCTGGACTTCCTTGCTTGGTGCCCTCACTCATCTCCCACCCACCTAACCAGGAAAAGGCTGTTCCAATTTCAATTTCAAAGTTCCATTTCATAGTTGCCCCATATTTCATCTAAAGAGCCAGTTTGTATTTCCTAATAGTGGTTGGATTTTCCCATTGTGTTAAGCTAGAGAGTCAGGTCACCTGAATTTTGCTTAGAGTGATGTGTGAACCAAGCCAGGGGCAGCTCAGTTGACGACGGGTGCAGGCAAACTGTGGATGAGTATTGTGCCTGAACCCAGCTAACTGTGGCTTGATTGTCAATTCATAATTAAATAAACCCTGGCTTAGCTCAGCAAATCGATCCAGCTACCCTTTCTGGAAAGGGAGAGTCTCAGTAACTTCGTGTTCATTTTAACCCTACTTCTACATCCATTTTCCATTCAATTGTCTAATTTTGACCCGGCTAATCATTTAATGAAATAACAAGGTAACCAGGTTATTTTGTCCCATTCGTGATACGTCTGAGTGGCTTGCCTTGTTTTTTTTCAGGCGGACGTGTGAAAACGTGGAAAAGGAGATGGTTTATACTGACTGATAACTGCCTCTATTATTTTGAATACACAACAGTGAGTACGGTTTGTAGGTGTCAATAACAACATTCCTTCTTCCACAGCCAAGCTGTTTCAACTGGTTGACTGGATGTTCTTTTTCCCGCCAAATTCCTAGGACAAAGAACCCAGAGGAATCATTCCATTGGAAAATCTCAGCATCAAGGAAGTGGAGGATCCAAGAAAGCCAGTAAGATCTCCCTCCTCTTCCCATCTTCTTCAAAAGATCCGTTTCTCCCAGAGGGATCCTTCTGGATTCCCTTTGAATTAGTCTTAGCGAGCAGCTCTTACGGATGCACCCGCGGCTTTCTGAACCTTCAACTTAGTGGTAAACTCTTGTTCTAGAGGTGCATCTCCACTGCTTAGCATTGTGAAAGTCTGCTAAAATAGAATAGAAAATGGCTAATAAACAGTTGGGTTGGGGACAGATGTGAAGGGATGGTATTCAGAGAAATCAAGATGGCGGTCATTGCTACAGGAATCTAATCTATCAGCTATCTCTATCTATCTATCTATCTATCTATCTATCTATCTATCTATCTATCT